TCGGTCTGATGGAGGCCTTTTGGGAAGGAAAGGCGCACACGTCTCATGACGATGAATCCAAAGTCTGTGACGATGCCGCAGTTGTACGGCAAAGTGGAGCCCTCCGGGGAGTGGACGGATGGCATTTTGCCTTACAACTTTAGGCGCGCCGCACAAGACACATCGACGGACCGCAAATGGCTTGTGCTGGACGGCCCCGTCGACGCGGTGTGGATTGAAAACATGAACACAGTCCTCGATGACAACAAGAAACTTTGTCTTCAGAATGGTGACATTATTCCCATGTCCAAGGAGATGAACCTTATATTTGAGGTGCAGGACTTGGCGTATGCCTCCCCGGCCACGGTCTCCCGGTGCGGTATGGTGTACGTGGAGCCGGACTCACTCGGTTGGCGCTGTTTGCTGGACTCGTACTTTAACACGCTGCCGGAGACTCTCCGTCTGGACCCGGACATCATGACGGCCCTGCGCTCTCTCGTTGATCTGTTTTTGCCCCCCATGCTGGAGGTGGCGCGGAAACAAGTCAAATCCGTGATTCCGCAGGGGGCTCTTGTCGCCATCTCGTGTTTTATCAAATTTTTCTCCGCACTTGTCAGTGAATTGGACGCAGATGAAAACGTTCCTGTCGCCGACGCCCATACCGAGGCGCGAACGCTTCTCATGAAGGTGGAAGGGTGGTTCTTGTTCTCGCTTGTCTGGTCCGTCGGTGGCTGCCTCTTTACGAAGGACAGGACGACATTCAATGCGGCGCTGCACGCCGAGTTGGCTGCAGCTGCGTCATCGGGATCATACAAATTTACGCTTCCTCTCATTGAAAACAAACGCTCCTTCTTTGACGTTCGCCTGGAAACAGAAGGTGGGGCTCGTCTTGCTCAGTGGACCGAATACGTGCCGGAGTTTACCATTGAGGAGGGCTTGGAGTACCAGGATATCATCGTCCCCACAAGTGCACAGACGCGGTATGCCTTCTTGACACGGTTAATGATCGGCGCAATGTATCCCGTACTGCTGGTGGGTGAAACGGGCACGGGGAAGACCATCATGACGAAGGCGCTGCTGAAAGGACTCCCTGAAGACTCCTATTCCACAAACATGATCCAATTTTCCGCGAAGACGACGGCAGGGCTTCTACAGAGGCTCATCGACGGCAGTTTGGAGAAACGTCGCAAGGGCTTTTACGGCCCCCCTATCAACAAGAAGATGATGATTTTTGTTGATGACACGAATCTGCCGCAACTGGAGGAGTACGGCGCACAACCACCCATTGAGCTCCTTCGCCAGTTTTTTGACCACGGGGGGTGGTACAACCACACAAAGGACAGCATAGAATTCCATCGGCTGGTGGACATTCTCTTGTTGTGTGCCATGGGACCAGCCGGTGGCGGGAGGAACCACGTGACGCAGCGCTTCACACGTCACTTCAATTCCATCGCCATTCCTGCCTTTGACGAGGCGACACTGCGGAAGATATTCGGCACGCTTTCCGAGTGGATTCTTAGCAAGGGCTTTCCAGCGTTGCTGCGTGGGATGAGTGGGGCGTTGGTGAGCGCAACGATTGATCTTTACGAGACACTTGTGGATAAACTGAAGCCGTCCCCGGAGAAGTCTCACTACACATTTAACCTGCGGGACGTCAGCAAAGTTTTCCAGGGAATTGATATGGCAAATCCCTCGAAGATTGTGGATGACCGAAAGTTGTCTACGCTGTGGGTTCACGAGGTCTCACGTGCCTTTGCGGATCGTTTTATTGATGAGAAGGACACAAGCTGGTTTCTTGGCGAGGTAGGAAAATTGTCCATGAAGCACTTCAAACTCGCACCGGAGAATCTCCATGATGTGGAAAACCCAACGCTTTTCTCTACGTTTATGAACGATGAAGGGTACTATGAGGAGCTTCCCAATTTGGTGGATGCCCGAAAGACACTGGAGAGCAAGTTGGATTCGTACAACATGGGAACAAACTCTGCCCCACTGGATCTCGTTGTATTTAACTACGTCCTGGTGCACGTGTCACGCATCTGTCGTGTTCTCCGACAGCCTGGGGGGAATCTTCTTCTGGTAGGTGTTGGGGGTAGTGGGCGCCGTAGCTGCGCCAAGGTTGCCGCGTACCTGCAAGAGTGTGATTACATGACTATTACACAGACAAAGGACTATGACCACAACAGTTTTCTTGACGACATACGGTTGCTTCTTCTCCGCACGGGTATGAATGGCTACGCGACTATGTTTGTATTGTCTGACACGCAGATCGCGTCGGAAAGTTTCTTGGAAGAAATCTGCTGTCTCCTCAACACCGGTGAGGTACCTGGCATATGGGATACGAAGCAAGATAAGGAGACATATGAGAATGCTGTGGCGTCTCTTCGGGAAAAAGGAAGGGAGCTTGGGCGCCCCGACACTGCGGAGGCACTTCAGGCACTTTTTGTCGAGCGGTGCAAGAAATTCATGCACATTGTCCTTTGTTTTTCGCCTCTGGGCAGTGTATTGCGTGAGCGGCTGCGGAAGTTCCCCTCGTTGGTGAATTGCACCACCATCGACTGGTTCCGCGAGTGGCCGGAGGATGGCCTGCGCTCTGTCGCCGCAAGGTTTCTTTTAAAGGTTGACCTTACCGACCATGAGCGACAGGCCGCGGAGGAGATGTTCGTTGCGTACCAGCAGCAGGTTCGGGACCTCGGAAAAGCGTACCTGGCGGAGGTACGGCAACACACATATGTTGCGCCCACCTCCTACTTGGACCTCCTCTCCACCTTTGCACGAATGCTGGAGGAGAAGCGCACAGAGCTCACGGCCATGATGCACCGCTATGCCAATGGTCTGACGCAACTAAAGAAGACGGAGGACCAGGTGGAGGTGATGCAGCAGGAGTTGGCACGCATGCGGCCGCAGCTGGCGAAGAAGCAGGAGGAGACGGACAAACTAATTAAGGAGGTGGAGATGGAGAGCAAGCTCGCAGAGGAGCAGCGCGCGGTTGTCGCCGTCGATGAGGCGGCGGCCAACGAGCAGGCGGCAGCGGCGAAGGAAATTAAAGACGCCTCACAAAAGAAGGTGGATGAGGCCCAGCCGCTGGTGGAGCAGGCCCAGCGGGCCGTCCTTGACCTTGACCCAAAGGCACTGCAGGAAATTAAGGCCCTCAAGACACCCCCGCAGGGTGTGAAGTATGTCATTGAGGTGCTTTGCACACTGCTGGGCGGATCCTACAAACCAAAGCCGGTGCGTGATCCTCTCACTGGCAACGTCTCCGTACCGTACTGGGAACACGCGAAGCTCACGCTGCTGACAGGCGAATTTAAGAACACCCTGCTAAGTGCATACCCCGTGATTGTGGACACGGCACCCAATGAGCAAATTGAGGATGTGAAGAAGAAAATGACAAACGACATGTTTAAGAATGAGAACATCAGAAAAACATCTGTGGCTTTGCTCGGCGTTGCAACTTACATCCGGGCGGTGGTGGAGTACTACAAGCAAAATAAAATTATTAAACCGTTACTGGCCCAGGCGGCTGCGGCACAGCAGGAGTATGACACGGCCATGGAGAGCCTAAACAAGAAGAAGGAGGAGCTGCGTATCATCAACGAAAAGCTAGCGAAGCTCACGAGTCACCTCGACAGGGTGAGGAAAGACAAGCAGGACTTGGAGGAGAAGGTGAACGACACGGACGTCAAGCTGACGCGAGCAAAGAAACTCATCGAAGGACTTGGCGGCGAGAAGGTTCGTTTTGCAAAAGAAAGCCAGCGGTTTGAAAACGAGTTGAAGTATGTCGTTGGCAACGTGTTGATCAGTGCGGGGGTCGTTGCGTACATGGGGCCGTTTCTTCACAAGTACCGCGCGAAAACAACGCAGACATGGCTGGACATGTGCAAGAAGCATAAAATACAGGTTTCGGAGGACTACGCCCTGGCAAAGTTTGTCGGCTCCCCTATTGACATTCAGACCTGGAGACTGCAACAGCTGCCATCGGATGGGTTTTCCATCGATAATGCGGTCATCGTCAAAACTTCCGACCGTTGGCCACTCTTCGTGGATCCCCAAAAGCAGGCAAACAACTGGATTCGCAACATGGAGCGGGCCAATGGACTAATTATCACACGACTCTCAGACCCCGACTGCATTCGGACCATCCGCGGTGCCATTACGGAGGGCCGTCCTGTGCTGCTTGAGAATCTTGAAGAGACCGTCGATCCGGTCCTGGAGAACGTGTTGCTCAAGCGGCTTACAAGGGAAGGCAATGTTACCGTCGTGCACCTGGGCGAGCCGGTGGAGTGGAACGAAAACTTCCGCCTCTACATGACAACGAATCTACCGCGACCGCATTACCTTCCGGAGGTGAGCACCAAGGTGACGCTGGTCAACTTTATGATCACTCAGGAAGGACTGCAGGATCAACTGCTGCAGCGTGTCATGATGAGCGAGCGGCGGGAGGTGGAGGAGAAGAAGCAGGCCCTGACGCTCGAGGCCGCGGAGAATCAGGCCAACCTAAAGCGAACGGAGGATAAAATTCTTGCCATTCTTTCCTCCGAGGGCAACATCTTGGAAAGTGAAACGGCCATTGAGGAACTGGACAGCTCCAAGGTGCAGAGTGACCAGATTGCCAAGCGACAGGAGGAGATTGAATCCATGGAGCGCATAAGTGATCGTACACGGAGTTTATTTATTCCCGTGGCGAGTCTTGGCGCCATCTTGTTCTTTTGTGTGACCGAGTTAGCAAACATTGATCCCATGTACCAAAACTCCCTGAACGCATACGTCGCCATCTTTCAGGAGGCCCTTCAGCAGAGTGAGAAGTCTGAGGATGTGGACACCCGCATAGAAAACATTCGAACGACGTTTCAAAAGTCTCTTTACAGGCGGATTTGTCGCTCCCTGTTTGCACGGGATCAGCTGTTGTTCTCATTCACAATGTGCCTGAAGATCTACGATGCGGACACAGCACAGTTGCGTTGGTTATTAATGGGTGGGTTTGAGGCCGATGATGAGTTAACACCGAATCCGTTTGCCTCATGGCTGCCTGAACAGAACTGGAAGTTGCTTTGGCGCGCCAGCACCCAAATTCCTCTGCTGTCCGACTTTATCAAGATTGTGCAGGGGAATGAGGAGTTCTTTCGCGACTTCTACGAGGCCTCAGACCCCCTGGCGGTTGAGCCACCAAACATCGTTGGGGAGAAGTTTGGCGGTTTGTTGCAGCTCATTCTCGTACGCTGCTTCCGTGCTGACAAGATTGTGCCAGCGGTGACAGACTATGTGCGCAATTTATTGGGCAAATACTTTGTGGAGCCTCCGCTCTACGCGCTGGAGGACGTTGTCGATGAACTTTCCCATGATCCGTCTATTCCGCTTGTTCTCGTGTTGTCCCCTGGCGCGGACCCGAACTTGGAGTTGGACCGCCTTGCGGAGCGGCGGGGGATGAGCAGCCGCCTCTTCAAGCTGTCACTTGGGCAGGGGCAGGGGGTCTTTGCACGGCAGCTCATCGAGGAGGGGGTGCGTGGCGGGCACTGGGTGTTCCTCCAGAACTGTCATTTGTATCAAGACTTTATGCCGGAGCTGGCACGTATCGTTGAAAACTACAGCGACAGTGGCGCAAAGGCCAAACTGAACGATCAATACCGTCTGTGGCTCACATCCCTTCCGAGTGAGACGTTTCCCATCTCCATCCTGCAGAATGGCGTCAAGCTTGTGCAGGAGCCTCCGAAGGGCCTCAAAAACAATCTCATGCAGTCGTACCTCTCAAATCCCGTGGCGGACCCCAAGTTCTTCAATTCCTCCAAGAAGCCCTCAATCTGGAGAAAAATGCTTTTTGGGCTTTGCTTTTTCCACGCCGTGGTGCAGGAGCGTCGCCAGTTTGGGCCCCTGGGCTGGAACCGAATGTACGAGTTTAACGACACGGACCGTCGTATTAGCGTGCGGCAGCTCAACATGTTTCTTGAGGAGAATGAGGAGGTCCCCTACGATGCCCTGTTGTATCTCACGGGTCAGTGCAATTATGGTGGTCGTGTCACGGACGATTGGGACCGCCGTTGCATTGTGGCGACACTCTCGCTCTACTTGACACCACTGATACTAGAGGACGACTACGTCTTTTCTTCAGACGCCCCAAATTATTATGCCCCACCCTTCGGTGAGTACGAATCCTACGTCGAATACATTCGAGGACTGCCCTCACAACAGCCCCCCGCCGTCTTTGGGTTGCACGAGAACGCCGACATCACAAAGGACGAGCGAGAGACGAGGGTTCTTCTTGAGGCTACACTCCTGACGCAGCCGCGCGAATCCTCCGATGCGGATTCAAAGCTGGACCCCAAGGCAACTGTAAAAGATCTGGCGCACCACGTCCTCTTGCGATTACCAAAGCTGTTTGATATTGAAGAGATACAACGGAAGCATCCAATTGATTACTCGCAGTCCATGAACACGGTCTTGCTGCAGGAGACCATACGGTACAGGCGTCTGCTACTGATTGTACGCCAAACACTTACTGACATTCAAGATGCCATCAGCGGCAAGGTGGTGATGAGCGCGGACCTGGAGGAAGTCTTTAATGCCATGTACGACGGAAAGGTACCAGATGTTTGGAAGAGGCAGTCCTACCCATCGTTGAAGCCCTTTGGCTCCTATGTGAGCGACTTAATTGAGCGTCTGGGGTTTCTTCAGAAGTGGTGTGATGAGGGCCCACCGCCGATGTTTTGGATCAGTGGATTTTTCTTTACACAGTCTTTTCTGACGGGTGTGATGCAGAACTATGCACGCAAGTGGAAGGTCGAAATCGACAAACTCGTGTGGAAGTTTTCTGTTCTTGCCGAGGAGACGTGCACAACGGCTCCCGAGGACGGTTGCTGCATCTACGGCCTATTCCTGGAAGGCGCGGGGTGGGACCCCGTCAATGCCGCCATCTGTGAAAGCAGACCGAAGGAACTTTTTATGAAATTTCCTCTTTTGCGGTTGCTTCCGTGTCGTTCACAGGAGCTGCCGGACACGCCCGTGTACCGATGCCCCTGTTACAAGACGACCGACCGCCGTGGTGTGCTATCCACAACGGGCCATTCCACCAACTTTATTCTCACCATTGACTTACCAAGACACCCGGCGGATTCTGAAAACCACTGGGTGCTGCGGGGAGTAGCGCTTTTCACGCAGCTTCCCTTTTAGAATGTAATGATGTATGTACTAGGAGAAGTATAACAAGAGGTAAAAACAAAAACAAAGAGAAGTTGTTTTTTATGGACAGATATTCGAGAAATACTACCTGCCTCCTACTCAACGTGTGTTTTTGCACGCATACGTACATGTGCTTGTTGCGTTGGGAGGAAACCCCTTTTCCAGTCGTTTTCTCTCTCTCTTTTTTTTTTTTTTTTACCATTTTTTTTTGCTTCTATAAAGCTAGATTTTACGATGAGTATGCATATTGGTGCTACATGATGAGAGAACGTCGAATTTGGGCAACAAATGCAGTTATTAATGTTTTGCTTCTCTCCCCTGCCTTTACATCCCATGTTCCGCTGCCTCTTTTTGCGTACCTGGTAAGGCGACATGTGAGGCCGGTGATATTGAAATGAGCCCCCACTATTAACCATAAACACCGGTGCTGTTAGTCCTGTTGCCGCGTGTATGTCTTTGCTGTGGGGCTGGAAGCCATCAGGTAGAATAACAGGGCCATGTACAGGACGATTCGTCGAATCTGCTATTGCTGCGTGTGGTGCACTCTTCCTCCTCTTCCCTTCTCGTTCCGTGTGTCTGTTTGCGTGAGTTGTTGTTGTAGTGAGCGACTGCGGCGGAAAAGATGATGGCACTCGCAGTGGATGGGTGGTATTGCTTGCTGTCTCACCTCTTTACTTGGCCTGTTTTCTCTTTTCTCTCTGACCCGCGCATACAGACACGCTAGGAAGGAAGGAAAACAAGCGCTAATCGCTACTGTGAAATTCAAAGGCACTGAAAGGACCAACAGCACACACACCGCCCACACACACATATTTATATGCTCTCACGTGTTGCTGCAGTGAAGGCACCCCGCACACACCACCGTCGCCGCGTGACCGGATCCAGCGGAAGGAGGAGGGAGGGAAGAGAGAGTGAGCCGCAGAGGCCCAACATGTCCCGGCGTGTGTTTACTTTTGCGGTGCTGCACCTCTTCGTCGTGTTGGTGATGTGCTGCCGTGGAGCTGCATCCAGTGAGATGGGAACGGCAGTTGTTGAGCCAACTTCTCCCATGCCTTCATCGAAAATTCTCATTGATGGTGGGGGGAGCGTTTCAGAGAAGGAGCAACCGCTGCAAAGGGTCGATCTATTTGTGCCGAATCAGACGCTGGTGCTGCCGAAAGGTGGAACTTCTCCAGAAACGACGAGGGATTCATTTGTTTCCCCATCTCTCGTCAGTGCTGGTGGAGTGATTGCTGCTTTTGCCGCATGTCACATGGATTTTGAAAAGCCGACGGATGCATCACTTAAGCCCTCTTTTGGTGTTGTTGCGGTGTACGTGAACTCTGCGCGGAGTTGGCCCGCTCTTGTTGCTGAGGTCAATAACAGTACATGGAAAGCACACACCGTGCTTGGCACAGCGGAGGGAAAGGAGAGTTTGGGTGGCTTGTTCAACCCCACAACAACCACGAAGGGAAATAAGGTTTTTCTTCTTGTGGGAAGCTCTGATGCGCACAAAAAAGGTCTGGACTGGAAATGGGACAGCCTGAAGCTGAAACTGGTTGTGGGTGATGTCACGAA